AGAGAGAGAGAGAGAGAATCTAAATGAAATTAAGTATCTAGAGTTTAAAAAAATAATCTATATTAAATGACTTGGAGATTGTCACTTTATGAAGGATTGAAAGACCGTCATGGAACACCAGATGGGGAAAGATGCTAAGACTTGCTTATAGAAGAATGAAATTATAGCATTTGTGGGTAAATGGAAGGAACTGGAGAATATCATGCTAAGCCAAATAAGCCAATCCCATAGAATCAAGGCCGAATATTTTCTCTGATATGTGGATGCTAATTCACAATGGGGTGGGGGAGCATAGAGGTATTTTGGACTAGACAGAGAGGAGTGAAGGGAGGGGAGCAGGCAGGGGTAGAAATGAGACCAGAATGGATTGGACTTTATTACCATATGTGTGTAGATGGTTTACATGACCTGTGTATGTCATGTACACACAGATGAATGAGAAGTTCTATTCCATTTATATATGATGTGTCAAAATTCATTTTACTGTCATGTGTAACTAATTAGAATGAATTTTAAAAATATATTAAAAAGATTCTAGGGCTGGGGCTGTATCTCAGTGGCAGAGGGCTTGCCTAGTATGTGTGAGGCGCGGGGTTCAATCCTAAGCACAGCATAAACAAAACTAAAGCAATAAGGTGCTAGACATGTCAAAGAGTGAGCCTTCTGTGTATGGAGGGTGGAGGGTGGTGGGACAGGACAGGGGAGGGAAGGAAGTAGGCCACCTAGGTCCCCCAGAAGACTGACAGGAGGAGCAGGGGGGTGGGAGGGACTGCAGATCCTCAGGGCCTGGCAGCTGAGCAGGATGCCTATCCTGATGCTGAAGACAGGGACACTCAGAAGGGATGTGGTGTCACTGGGCTTGGGGAAGGCGAGCCTGACAACTGTCAGAGCCCTGGCATCCTACCACAGGAGGAAGGGTCCCTGGAACCCCAGGCTGGGCTCTACTAGGCCTCCCGAGGTCAGGGCATTCCATGGACTTAGCAGGAATCCAAGGATCCTATGACTCTCTTCCTTCTCTTCTGGATGTGGGGATGCCCAGCTCAGGGGAAATGCCCCCCGCCTTGATTCCTCTCAGAGTCCCACATGGCTCTGGAGACTGCAGGGAAGAAGGGACCTGAGTTGGCATTGACAACCATCAGGCAGGGACCTCCCTCTCTGGGAGGGGTGAGCAGATTCTAGTTCCTTCCCTGCCTCCCCCATCATGAGGCCTGGGGAGGATGCCCAGGTCTGGAGAGGCAGTGTGGGGGGGGTGGATAGAGTGGAAAATCCCCTGCTGGCCAGATGCTGTCTTTGGTTGGCAGGTGTGGCCCTGGCCTTCTGCCTGGGGCCCAAAGGTGTGATCAATTTGTTTGGAGCCCTGAGTGCTGGGTACAAAGTGGCAGAGAGGGTGCAAGGATGGGGACTTTTTCCAGTCCCCCAATATGGAGAGTTGGCAGTCCAGCTTCAGGTCAGCTCAGCCTTGGGAACATTGTGGATGGGAAGAGGGGGAGGTGGCCGTAAGAGGTAGGGGAGTTGGGGGATGGGTGTGGGGGGCCCCAGATGATGGAGAGAGGGACAGGATGAACCAGACCTGGGCCACAGAAGGGCAGACCAGGGCTTGGTGAAGGGCAGTGGGGGACACAGAGGCCTCCCAGGAGAACTAGGTCAGGACAGAGTTGCAGGGGGTGTAGGGAGAGACAGTGAAGAAGGGGGAAAGACAGGGGTGGCCTTCCACTCATGCCCTGCTCCAAGTTTTTCTTCACTCTGCTGCCCGAGGAATGGCCAATGCCCAGATGGCATATCCTGTGAGTGTGACCTGGGCATGTGCCGAGGGTGTCTCCAAGTCCCCTGATGGATATCGAAAGCCTCTGAAGACTCCCCCAGTCAGTGACTTCTGCCACTTGCCTCCAACACCATCCCCAGCTGCCTTGTTACCAACATGTCCTCATCACCATGCTACCTATTGACCCCCACACACCCCAATTCCATCCCTAAGGTGTTGGGGTGCTGGGAGCCAGGACTTGAGCCAGACCACCAGGGGCATACTTAAGAACACAGTTCTCAATGATGTCATCCCTACGGGGGATGTTAAATAACCCCTAGACACATTTCTGATTGCTACAGCTCAGGGACTGCTCCTGGCACCTGGTGAGCAGCCACCAAGATGGTGTGAAGCTGCCTACAGCACACAGGAGAGTGCCTATGACAAAGGTCCTGTGATCCCCAATGTCAAGGCTAGCTGGGGTAGAAACCTGCCTATATTCCTATACCCCTCTCTCTGTTTCTGCCTCTTTGTGGCCCTCACCCCCAAATGCCCACACCAACCACTGGATCCTGAAGAAGGAGCAGCTCTGCCCCTCCATCTAATGGCTACTTTGTTCTGTCTTATCGCCCGTACCTCCTGGCCTCTGCTGTTGGATTCAAAAGTCAACAAGTTGAAAAGTCAGCTGTGGCCATGGTCCAGGGGGGAAAACACAGTAACAATGGCTACATGGTGTACAGGGGACACCCTGGTTAGGGTCATGCTTGTCCAGGGCATGGAGGGAGGGACTCGGCCACATCCAGGGAGTATAAAGAGGGAGTGCTGAAGTCTTCACTCCAGTGCAACTGTGGATCTCAGAGTGGCGCTTGCTCTGTGACCAGCTGGGAATCGGCATCATGAAGTGGATGGTGGTGGCCTTGGTCTGCCTCCTGGCCTTGGAGGCATCGACTACAATTGTCAAGTGAGTGTGGGCCTGGCTGTGGGTGCAGGGAACCTCAGGAGGCCTGCAGCCCTGTATGGAGCAGCTAGTCAGGGGGCAGCAGCTGGGTCTGAGTAGGGTTCCCTCTTGGGCCAGGGAAGGCTGCCCCTGCTGGAGCTGGGCAGGACTCAGCTGGCAGCAGACATAGCCTGGCCTCAGGAGCTGCTAGTCAAGGCAATAGCCTCCTCCCTCCTTAGACTGAGGGGAAAAGATGGTCCTGAAGCAGAGAGTAGGGCGACAGTACCCACACAGGCCTTTGCAGGATGAGTGTGGTTTCTTCCTACAGAAGGTAACAGTCCCAACTAGAGGAGAAAGATAATCTCTCCAAAAACTTTCCTGAGACCCCAAATTTGCTGGAAGAATCCAAGATCAAATTAGCAAAGACATCAATTCCTGTAAATCACTATAATATGAGGTGTTGAAAATTCTGGATGGAGCAGGTGATCTGGCTCAGGGGAAAGCAGGAGTCCCCACCTGCCACCCTGTCTGCTGTACCACTAGGGAAGAGTGCACAGGGCCTTTCCTGTGTGCAGCTTTATAGCCACACATTCAATTAGCTGCAGATTGAAAATATTAGGGGACAATTACTGCTCTCCTACTGCACAGTGTGTCTTATAGGCAGCACCAGGTGCCGGAGTGCACCACAGGAAGGGACACACTTTGGGGTGACCTTTGCTGTCTCTGAGAACTATTTTACTTTAGTTTTGTCTTTTCATGTTTCTTGTGACTGCACCCAGGTCAGGCACATGGTAAGCAAATGTTCTCCCACTGAGTCATATCCCAGACCTTACCCTTAAACTACAAAAGAACAAATATCAGCACACATCCTCTGGAAAGTGTAAAGTCCTAGCGTACCAAGTCCTTCTCCCTTTCATGGGAAGTATTTTCAGGGTCTCTGAGAACAGAGGCCAGGGCAGGAGTAGGACCTCTGAGAGGGACTGAGGGCAGGCATGAGGGAAGTTCATTGTTTCCCAAATGATGGAGCAAGTGCTGAGTGAAGTTGAAAGAAGTGGAGAAGGAAAGAAAGAAGAGGAAGAGGAAGGAGGCGAGGGAGAACATCAGGGAGAGAAGAAATGAGAAGGTAGAGGAAGGAGGGGGGCCCTGCCCTGACACCCAGCCTCCCCTAGGGTCCCCCTGAGGAAAATGAAGACTATGCGTCAGACCATGAGGGAAAAGGGCTTGCTGAGGGACTTCCTGAGGACCCACAAGTATGACCCCGCTCAGAAGTACCGCTTCAGCGACTTCAGCGTGCTCTATGAGCCCATGAGCTACATGGATGTGAGTCCTAGTCTCTAGGTGTCCCTGTCCCTGCTTCCAAAGCTGGGGACTCCCTGGGCTTCCACCCTGAGGCTGCTCCCTTCTCCCAGTCCTGCCAGCCTGGGCCACCCTGCAGTGAGTGGCCCATTGGGCAGAGCATGGGGAGGGCCCCAGCTGACCTGGCAGCTGACCCACAGAGACCACGTGGCTGCCCTGGGCAGGCTGGGACTGAGGCCTGTGTCTCTGGGACCCTGGCTTCTGGTGGTCCTATAGGGCAGGGCTGTCCTTCCTGCTCTCCCATGGAGAAGCCTGGCCCCTGGGTCCCCCTAATGCTCACAGTCGTCCCCATGGCTCCCCAGGCTGCCTACTTTGGTGAGATCAGCATCGGGACTCCACCCCAGAACTTCCTGGTCCTGTTTGACACTGGCTCCTCCAACCTGTGGGTGCCCTCGGTCTACTGCCAGAGCCAGGCCTGCAGTGAGTGCTGGGCTGGGCAGGGAGGGCCCCTGGGCAGGGCCGGGCATTGGCATGTCCAAGGATGCAGGCAGGGAAGGGTGCTCACTCCTGAGGAGGACCAGGGACTTGTGTAGGGTCTCAGGGCATCAAGAAGCCAGAGGGAGGAGGCTGGCCCTGCTCCAGGGTGGCCCCTTGCCTTGCCTTGTGTCAGGATGGACCCCTTCATCTCTGCCGTCCACCTCACCCCCTCCAGTTCATTCCGCTCCACCCTCTCCTGCTCACCGGGCAGTGCTGCTCCTCCCCTCAGGACGCTGTCCACTCTGTGCCTCGCCCTCCACTCTGCTATCCACTAGCTTCTCCCTGAGTGTCTCCAAGGACTGGCCACAACTATGATGGATGTGGTCCCTGTCCTGGAGTCATTTAGGGAGACAGAGGATCTTCAGTTTTAAGTCTGCCCTAATTCTTTCCAAAATCTTGGGGTTGGAGTGCAGACATCTCTGTCCATCATGGGCACATCCCATGCCACTTTCACCCAGGATGCCCAACTCCTGGGCAAATCAAGATTAGGCTGAGTGGATTTCTCTCCAGGCCTCCCTCCCAATCCTTACTGGATGAGCATTTCCCACCAGGCTTTGTGCCAGTTTTTACTGGGCCAGAGATAGAAGAGGAGTCTAGGGCACCTGCTTACAGGGAGGTCATTAACCAGGCATCCAATTACCTGTGAAACATGGGCTTTCATGCCTTCCAACTGCTACGAGCCAGGAGCCAAGGCTTTCAGCCCTTGCCTTGGTGCAGGTGCTGATACCTCAAGCTGGGAGCTTAGGCTGAGGGCCAGGCAGGGGTGGAGCCCATGAGCCTGAGAGCCAGGCAGCCCTCTGCTCACCCCTGGCCTCCATG